AGACGTACCATACCATCATACGGATTACTATTCCAGATCCTAGTTGTATCTGTGACAAATTAATTTATTAAATACAATTTAAATATAATAATATCTTACAGCAGTATACAGTAGCATCATAACTGTTACTGTTAACACAACCACTGTCAATGACAGTAGAGTAGGTACATTGAGCAATAGATAAATAGCTGCTACTGGCACAGTTAACATCATCCCATTTCATAGAAAGATGGTCTGTACCATAGCTACACAGCAACAGTAATTATGATCATTAATAATGAATACCTTGTTTGTCCAGCTCTAGAGTAGCTTGAAGCTCCAGTGTATCCCAACTGATGACAAATGACATTAGCTTCAGTATAACCATAGAAGTAGTCATCACATATGTTACCCCATCCATTATAATACACTCTAATTGTTCCATAATAATAAGAAGGTGATGGTAAATTGTTACGAGACAAAATAATTGCTCCATTAGATACAGAGTCTAAATTAATTTTAAAATGTTATTATTACACAATCAGGATAGTGAATTGACTGACCTGAAGTAAGTCCAGAACAAGTGGACTGAGTAACAGTTTGTCTGGAAGAAGATGAGATGTCTCCTAAGTAAGTATTACTTTAATTCAAGAAACAACAACTTATTTTACTAACTGCATGTAAGTATAACGTCATTCAACTGAGAGCAATTGGTCACTGAAGCTGATGGACAAGAGTTTCCAGACCCAAAGCACCTATGACTTATTGTACTGTACATGTTGGTGCTCCATATAGGCTGAATAGTGTTATTAATTCTAGAATGAAGTTTAAAAGGCAATGTTAATATCAATAAAACTGACCTTGAGGTGTGATCAAAGCTGTTATAACCATCATATCCCAGTTGCTTGCAGAGAGTGTTGGCATCAGTAGAGTCAAACCCATCATTGCATATTGTCCCCCACTGTCCATTACAATAAACTTCAACACGTCCTTCATTAGAATAAGTTCCATCTTGAAGACGTACCATACCAGGGAATGGACTACTGTTCCAGATTCTAGTAGTATCTATAATATAATACATTGAACATGTGCATACAAATACGTTGAATATATATCTTACAGCAGTATACAGTAGCATCATAACTGTTACTGTTAACACAACCACTGTCAATGATAGTAGAGTAGGAACATTGAGCAATGGATAAATAGCCGCTACTGGCACAGTTAACATCATCCCATTTCATAGAAAGATAGTCTGTACCATAACTATATGCAAAATAGTGACTGACTATATAACCACAAATAAAAAAGTACCTGACACTACCAGCTCTAGAGTAGCTTGAAGCTCCAGTGTATCCCAACTGATGACAAATGACATTAGCTTCAGCTGAATTATAATAGTAGTCATCACAAATGTTACCCCATCCATTATAATAGACCCTAATTGTTCCATAGTAATAAGTAGTTGATGATATATTGTTACGAGACAAAACAATTACTCCATTAACAGCATCAGTCAGACCATCTAAAAATAAAATTGATTAAAGTCACTATGTTGTTTGGGATATTGTGTTGTAATGGTGTTGGTCCTGTTAGAGTGACTTTTAATAGCAGTTATCATCAAATTATGGTAACATCGCACACAAATACCAATCTAATAAACTAACCTAATACTTGTGAACATGTTACTTTTGTATTGGTCACAACAGCGAATGAAGAACTGTCACCTATTTAATAAATCAAAAAATACAATCAAACATAAACCAGTCGGTATAAATTACATAACATACTGCATTTTAAAAATAGATCATTAAGATGAGAGCAGTTGGTGACTGAATTCATTGGACAGCCATTTCTTGACCCATAAC